GGGGGGGGGGGGGGGGGGCAGCTAGCAGCAATGCACAACTTTATTTTAATTTTTAAACCTTCAAAAAGTTTAAAAATTGTGAAAACTATGCTTTCGCCCATATTTGTGAACAAAGATTTCTTCATTCCCTTTTCCATATGAGTTGCCTGCTAAGCGTGGCTACTGTTTGCAACTATATAAAACTGGATAAACTATAGAATGGTAGAGTTTTCCAACTTCTGATTTATGTTTGATTTATCTGTAATAGGACACTGACCTACTTGAATACATAATCCCCGAGGAAACGTCATTGGAGCATCAGCTGGCAGTATCTGATCCATTGTTCCTCGACTTTGTCAGAAAGTTGCTTGAGATAAATCCTCAAAGGCGTCCTACGGCCAAAGAGGCCCTAGGTCACCCTTGGCTTTCCCATTGGTACGAGTAGAATCCAAGTTAACGTCTTTTTAATATTGTTGTTCATGTTTCGTGGTATATCATCAGCTCGAAGCTGTTCTCGGAAAGTTTCCTGACAGAGCAAAAGGTTTGTTCTTTGTTGCGGATATTGATTCAATGAGTACATAGTCGTCATATTCTCTGTTGTGTATATCGATTGCGGATTTTCAATGCTGATGCTTTGTTGTAGATATTATAGGAAAAATACTGTTTTGTTTGCCCAGCAGGGTATAAACCAGTCTTCCAGTTTATCAAAAAGTATAGGGAACCAATACAGTTTTGAGTCTTGTCACATATGAATATGCTCTTGACGTGTATTCATGATTTTTTTGTAATTTGTAAATAATAAAAGCATTCTCTTGATTCGATTGGTTTATAAATGATGCTTCTCTGATTTTGGTTTTGATCTTTAGGCTATTAGACGACTCGAAAAGCAAAATTCCATGTCATAATTAAGAATTACATTGTGTATTTTTTTTTAAAATAACCGTGGTGTTCGGGTCAGCTTGCGCATACCTCGGCTATTTCACGAGATATCTGTTATTTTTCACTAGTATAGTTACGGGGTAACTTTATACTAGAAGAAATCATCTAGTGTTTAAGTTACACCGTGTGTTGTAGGGTCAAACATGTTGGCTCTACCATAGACGTGCAAATGACCAGTTTTTATGTCTTTAAATGGCAGGCTATCTCTGAAATTAACTTGGTCTTTTCCTTTTATCACATATGAGATGGTCACATCGAATTGATCTCTATTTGTAAAGAGGCACTTACATCACAAGTTTAAGGTTGAAATCTTAATTATTGTCAAATATGTGCTATCTTAGCATTATATGTATCCTTTTATTGATTGAAAAAGAAAAAACAATGAATCACTACTCTAAAGTGTTACTTTAGTAGTTGATATAACATTGTTTAAGATAAGTTTTACTAGCAAAATCGGATGAGACAGTCTAAATACTATCTTTCAACTTCAACTCTAAACTCATATTTTTCAACTTCTAGAAATGTCTACAAGATTGTCGCAAAAGCTAAGAAGGTGAATGTTAGAATCCAAAATCAATGTTTACGCATATAAATAAAACAACAACATGCCAAGTGAATTCTCACATAGTACGCATATAAATTAAAAAAATAATATTTATAAAGAAAAGTTCAAAAAGTAAAATAAAAACCATGATCAAAACTAAAAGTGATACAAGAAAAAAATCAAATTGCATATAAAAGGAAAGAGTAGCAATAAATTCCATAATATTATTCTCCTTTCATTTCAACTTATGTTTGAACTTATTTGATTTGATACATATTTTTTAAAAAAACTTTTGAACATATATTTTATGTGATCATAAATCATTAAATAAATATTAATTATTTTTAAATATAAGAATAGACATTGAAAGATGGATTGGACAAAGCCTCCAAAGTCCAAAAGAAGGAAACGTTGTCTGTTGTGGTTGGCTGATTCTAGTAGTGGTTATCCAACAGTGAACTATTCCTAATACTGCTTTTGTTTTGTCCACAGCATCTTTTCCTTATCCCACGCGCGTGGATTGCTAATTCTTCCTCTTGCCCTTAAAGCATATACTACTCATAATCACGTTAAATTATTTACTTCGGTTATCTTTTTTAAGTGTTGGGGAAAAGTAATGCACTAATAAATGTATGATAAGGTAACAGCAAAAAGATACCGAAATCCAATTTCTTAAATCTAATTGAACTAAGGGCATACAACAAACACTAACACACATAACCCCGGGCAGCAGTTATAACAACAGCTAATAGATATGATAAGGCAAAAGTAAATCAACGCAAGAGACACCAAATTTACATGAAAAATTTAAATTTCTTCACACTAGTGTGAAGAGTAAAACCGCTAAAGCTCCACTAAGTAAATAAAAAAGTTACAAAAGTTGTCCATGTGGTTAAGGGTGGCAAGTGGGCCGGTCCCGGACCTAAACGGGTCAAGTGGGTCGGTCCAAACGATCCCGGTCCCGGGCCGGTCCCAAATTAAACGGGTCAAACGGTCCCGGACTAAACGGTCTTTTTGTAGAGACCGGTCCGGGATCGGGACCGTTTAGTCCCGGGCTAAACGGTCCCGGCCCGCGGGCTAAATGGACTAAGTGGGCCCAACAATTCTTTTTAAAAAAAAAATTAAATAGATATTAGAGACAAAAGGATGTTAAAAAAAAAATTAAATAGATATTAGTAAATTTATTATATAATTGTAACCTAAATTTTATTTAACATCCTAAATTTTAATATTCAATATTTAATATCGAATATAGCTTATATATATATA